GAAACCCTATACAGGGTCGCTATGAGTCTGAACCAACTCAACAGCACTTAACAACAACAACAACATGGTTGGTCCTTAGCAAAGTGCCAGTCAAGTGAGATATAGAAAAGAAAGAAGATACAAACTGAAGAGTGTCAGTCCCTGCCTTGCCCAGTATAATGGATAAGGCTGTCTTAGGTCTGGGAATCTGTCTGTGAGATGCTGCGCCTCACCCCATTTGGGTTCATCTCCACCAAGTGTGGAATGTCCATCTCTACAGACAGCAGAACACAGAGGGCGTCAGACAAGGGTCCTCAACTCTGGCTTCACATACAGATAATGAGCCTCTCCCTTCTATACACCCTCCTCCAGTTCCCCAAATGCTAACTGACTTTTCTGGGTGGTGCCTGGAATTTCTGTTGTGCAGCCGGGGAAGAGTCTGGAATGGGAGTCATTTTGAATGTCAGCTGTTCTAAAGCAACATCAATCCTCAGTGGACCAGAAAGGGGTCTTGGAAATGATCTTGCCTTTCTGAGTCGCTGTTTCTACATTTAAGAAGTGGAGAAAATCAACTTCAAGTCTCCTCCTCCGGGTAATTTGTAAAGGTCACGCAAGATACTGCATGAGAAAGCCCTTGCTGTACAGAACCATCTACCTCTCTGCTCCATAAGTAAAACATAATTGCCAGAATGCCACAACCCACCACAAACAAAGGCATTCCTGCTTCCTGGCAGTACCTCTAAGGCTGAGAGGAAGGGCTGAGCAAGCTATCCTGGGACAAGACCCGAAAACAAACAGAATCGAGACTCCACACAGAGGCCACACTAGGCACTGCAGGGCACTCCCGGACTCACTGCTCGCCTCTCCTGCTAAGCCCTTCCTGCCATCCAAGCCACACAGAGAAGTGGGAGATGTCGGCCCACAGCACGAAGGGGAGACCCAGGAGGGCTCAGGAAGATCATCTCCAGCATCCTGGCGGTGGCTAGGCTCTGTCCTCACCTTGGAGAAATGCTGAGGGTGGGATAGCTGAACAGATAAGCACAGAGAGTGGTATGGGAGGCCTTTCTGAAGACAGCTGCTGACTGACTCCTCCTTGTCCTCACATCCTTGTTCTCCAGGTCCCAAGCATAGCAGGTCTCAGTTTCTGCATAAACTGCCCTCCACACAGAACATGCTCGCTCCCCTCTCTTCCTGTGGCTAAATCCTGGATACCTTAAGACTTTATGCAGATGGAATCTCTGGAAAACCTCTCCTGGCTCTCAAGTTGGGTTGCAAGCCTCTTGGGAGCCCCCAAGTGCTTGGAGTAGACCCCTGTCACAGCCCTTATAAATATCAGTAACTGCCTGTTCACTTGTCTGGGTCTCTCAGCTCCCTGTGAGCAATTAAAATGAATGAACTAGCTCAGCATGAAGCAACATGGATAAATCTCAAAAAATATTTTGGGTGAAAAAAATAATTTTGCAAAAGAATTCATGCATCCAACATTCAAATACTTAACAAATGAAAGGATCCATGCAGTATAATAACACAGATACAGAATATTTAAACATTAAAAAATAGTAGACTTATTTGTGGCCATCTATGCAAAAGCTGGACAGTGAGTAGGAAGACCGTAGAAGAATTGATGCTTTTGAGTTATGGTGTTGGAGGAGAACATTGAAAGTGCCATGGGCTGCCAAAAGAACCAACAGATTTATGTTGGAAGAAGTGCAGCCAGAGTGCTCCTTGGAGGCCAGGATGGCCAAACTTCGACTCTCATACTTTGGACATATTGTCAGGAGGGAGCAGTCACTGGAGAAGGATATCATGTTTGGTAAGGTGGAGGGTCAGAGAAAAAGAGGAAGAGCACCAATGAGATGGATTTGCCAAGTGGCAGCATCGAGGGACTCAAGCATGGCAACAGTAGTGAGGTTGGCCCAAGATCGGGCAGTGTTTCGTTCTGCTGTGCATAAGGTCACTGTGAGTTGGTACCGACTCAATGGCACCTAACAACAACAATACATATGACAGAAAAATTAAAGTGTGTGGAAAGGATATATATCAATCAGTCACATGATAGCAGTTGCCTAAGGGGATAGGGAGTAGATGAAGGTGAAGCCCAAGCTGTAGCTACAGTGCTTTACTGACTTATATTTTTATTTTATAGAGATGAAGCAAAATAGTATCCGTTAAACTCAGGTGGTAGACATGTGCATATCTAGTATATAAAAAAATCCTCACCACTGGACCAATAAACAACACCCATGTAAATGGAGAAAAGATTGAAGTTGTCAAAGTCTTAATTTTGCTCAGATCAACTATCAACAATCTTGGAAGCAGCAGTCAAGAAATCAAACAATGTATTTTATTAGGCAAGTGTGCTGTACAAGACCTCTTTAAAGTGTTCAAGAGCAAAGATGTCAGTATGAGAACTAAAGAGCTCCTGACCCAAGCCATGGTATTTTCAGTGACCTCATGCAGGTGAAAGTTGGACAGTGAATAAGGAAAACTGTAAAAGAATTGATGCATTTGAGTTATGGTATTGGAGAAGAATATTGAAAATATCATAGACTGCCAAAAGAACAAACCAATCTGTGTGGGAAGAAGTACAGCCAGAGCACTCCTTAGAAGCCAGGATGGACAAACTCCATATCTCATATTTTAGACATGTTATCAGGAGGGACCAGTCACTGGAGAAGGCTATCATGTTTGGTAAAGTTGGAGGGTCTGAGAAAAAGAGGAAGACCTCCAATGAGATCTTACCTAGTAACCAAAAACTTGGAGGTTTGAATCCACTCAGAGGTACCTCAGAAGCAAGGCCTGGAGATCTCCTTGCAGAAAATGATCAGATCTTTTCTCCTTCCAGAAAGGACAAGCCATTGAAAATCTTGAGAAGCACTGTTTTACTCTGACACACATGGGGATCTTTATGAATTAGAACTGACTTAACAGTAACTATTTAGTTTTCTCTTTTTGGGAGGTGGGGGGCCTTGGATGGGGAAATTTCAGCAGAGCACAGAGAAAAGAGTTAGGGATGAGGGATAAAGGTATGAGCAGGTGAAGCACAGGGGATTTTCAGAGCAGTAAAACAATACAATACTGGAAAAGTAGACACATGACATTATGCATTTGTCAAAATCCACAGAACTGTGCAACACAAATAGTAACCCTAATGTAAACTAGAAACTTTAGTTAATAATGATGTACCAGTATTACTTTACCAGCTGTAACAAATGTACCAAACTTGTGCAAGATGTTAATAATAATAGAGGGGACTATGGTAGGAAACCTGGTGTAGCGCTGTGGGTTAATGCATCGGACTGCAAAGTCATTTGAACTGCAAGGTCAGTGGTTCAAGCTCATCAGCTGCTCCTTGGAAACCCTAGACAGGGTCGCTATATGACAGCACTTCACAACAACAACAATGGTAGAGAGGAGAAGACAGAAGGGTTATGGAAGCTGTCTTTACTATGTGATCAATTGTCTCTACACCTAAAACTGCTCTAAAAAAAAAAGGAGAAAGAAAAATTCTACTAAAAAAATAAATAAATAAAAGTAACACTAGTCTATTGAAGAAGTCCTGGTGTGGCACTGTAGGAGCAAGGTTGGCGGTTCAAACCCACCAGCCCACCCACCAATCAATCCTTGGAAACCCTATACAGGACCCTATGAATTGGAACCAACTTGACAGCACCTAACCACAACAGTCTATTGAAGGAAAAGTGTAAATAAGATAAGATAACCAGTCACCAGTTCAGCAGGGAGTCCTGAGTGGTAGCAATAGCTAAGCACTTGGTTACTATCCAAAAGGTTGGTGGTTTGAATCCACCCAGAGATGCTTTGGAAGAAAAGCCTGGTGGTCTACTTCTGAAAGACCACATCCATTGGAGATCCTATGCTGCACAGTTCTACTCTGAAACATATGAGGTCACTATGAGCCAGAATCAACTTGACGGCAACTGGTCTGGTTTTTCAAATCAACAGAAAGATAATTATTGTTAACACTTAGGCATAATTCCTTCCAATCCTTATTTTTGGGGCTGGGGGTGGGGTGAATATCTATATTTATGTAATATTTGTTTAAGATTTGAAATCTCTCTGCTAAATCCATCTTGAAGGTTTAGTCTAGCTTCAGTTTGAATTTGTAGCCATAAAGTCAGAAACCCATAGAGAACATTAGTAATACCAAAAACAGATTCTAAAGGGGTCAGTTGCTATGGGGAATAACTGAAAATAAATTTCACTTCACACTACATCCAGCTAATGTACTGACCAGAAAGGAAGAAAGGAGAAATATTTGGAATAAGTTAGAAGAGCAGCCAAGAAAACTTCTAATTGAGAAGAAGGAAAATCCAACAGCCTTATTTTAATGGAGTTTCAAAGAGGTCAACAGAATTTTCCTGCGATATAACGGATTATGTTCTTCAACAATTGTGTATGGATACCACATTGCCCCTTAGCTCTGAGGTCCCTTCCATACAAATCATAGAGTGGTCCAGGGGCTTGGGGAAGGGGCCAGGTTAGCAGAAAGTAGGGAGCACTCAGGAAACAATTCAGGCAATGACTATTTTCATAGAAGTACTGTAAGAATAACCAAGCATATATTTGCCTCTGTTTTGTAGAAATGGCAAGTGTTATGTGTTGTCTGTCTCAGATTTTTTTAAAAGGAAAGAATGTATAGCATAAAATTTAAAGCCCATTTTCTTCCCTACTCCGAATCTATTTCCTGCTTCCTTTTCCCAGTCACTGTTATGAATTTCATCTGTATCCATCCAGTTCTACTTTATTCTTTGTTTTACCTAAATTTTCTGTGTAGTCTTAAAAACAGGAAATAAAAAGAACGCATGGAAAATGTGCTAAGAAAAAATGTGTTGAGGGGCTTTGGAGCCCATGATATATACCAAGACACCTCACCCAGGTACAGGTTACACTAATTGTAGGAAAAGCCTACTGGGAGGCAGTCTTGCAAACTCACATTCATAAGTGTCTATGAAACAATGCAGAGCACTCTACGGCCATAAACCGAACTCCAAAAAGCTTACCTGGGTCCAGGTGTGTGAAAGAGCCCACCACGAAATCCAGTGTGGACACAGCCAGCAAGAACAGTAGCAACAGCTGAAGACGGATTATCCACTTGACACCTGCTAGGTTAATCCCCAGCAAGGCCAGGAGCACGGAAATGGAAATTCCTCGAACAGCCCAGATATTCCTGAAGCCCAGCAAATCCGAGATGGATTCAGCAAAGCCGGTAATATACATGGCACCTGCAACACACTAACAGGCAATTCTAGGTAGAAGTCAGCAAGACAGAAAAACATCAAGAGCCCAAGGACCAAGACTGTCCAACATTGAGATCCTAGCTTATTCCCATCAGATACACACACCATCTCCAAGTCTCAACACCTTGAAGCCTGCGCAGGTATGTGATGAGCCCTTCCCACCTGTGAACACCCACCCACCTGGGGCCCCATCTCTGCTCATCTCTACTAGACTGAAGAATAAAAGCCAAGCCAAAGCCTAGAGCTGATTGTCATTAATAACTAAGATGAAAAGATACAGGGGGGCCAAAGAGGCATTGTATTTCTGTCTCAGTTACTCAAAAACCAAATCTAGAACAAGAACACAGAGCAAGCACCCTTCTACCAAGACACATAGGGCATTGAAACAAACCTTTTTTCTTCCATTTCTTCATAGGTCAATTATTTCCCCCTCTAAATTATCTATGCTACAGCATTGGTGCACTCCTAAAGCATTATGCTGAGTGGAACATGAGGGACAAATATTAACATGTGGTCTCACTTGCGTGAAATATCTGGAATAAGCAAGTGAGGCAGGAGGGAGTCCTTGTTTGCAGGCCACTAGGCATCTGTGAAGAGTAATGAAACACTGGGAAGCAGCAGTGATGGCTGCACAATTGTTGTTTAGTGCTGGGGAGTCGGTTCCGACTGTACAGGGTTTCCTAGGCTATAAATCTCTATGGGAGCAGAAAGCCTCATCTTTCTTCCGCAGAACAACTGGTAGTTTCAAACTGCTGACCATGAGATTAGCAGCCTGATTTGTAACCACTACGCTACCAGAGCTCCTGGCTGCACAATTGGTGTTGTTGTTAGGTGCCATCGAGTTGGTACCGACCCATAGCAACCTTATACACAGCAGAACGAAACACTGCCTGATCCTGGGCCAACCTCACTACTGTTGCCACACTTGAGTCCATCAATGCTGCCACTTGGCCTCTTGTTGGGGGTCTTCCTCTTTTTCTGTGACCCTCCACCTTACCAAACATGATATCCTTCTCCCAATAGGATGGAAATAATTAATGTCACTGAATTATACACATCAAAATGGCCATTTGGGGGTCATATGTATCAATATTGTTGTTGTTAAGTGCCATTGACTCGGTTCTGAGTCATAGCGATCCTGTATGTAATATGTATGTACTCCTAGTGTGGTGCTGTAGGATCCGCACTGGACTATGAACCACAAAGTTGGCAGTTCAAATCCACCAGCTGCTCCTAGGAAACTCTGTACAGGGTGGCTATGAATTGGAACCAACTCAACAGTACTTTAACAACATATATATAGTAACCCTGTATAGGGTTTCTAAGGAGCTGCTGGTGGGTTTGAACTGCTGACCTTGTGGTTCACAGCTCAATGCTGAGCCTATAATGCCACACTAGGAGTCTCTCTCTCTCTGGCTAATGTGCTGGACCGCAAAGTTGGTTTGAACCACAAGGTCAGTGGTTCAAGCTCACTAGCTGCTCATTGGAAACCCTATATAGTGTTGCTATGGGTTGGAACCAACTCAATGGCACATAACAACAACAACAACAAATATATATGTGTGTGTGTATGTATATATATATATATCTATCTATAGCTATATATATACACACATACATGCATATATATGTATATATAAATGTGTATATTTTATTGTGGTGGATATACATATGTAAAAGAATTATACGTATGTTTATTTATATTTTTTTAAATAAAAAATCAAAATAATAAAAACACATACCCTGCTGCCAGTGTCAGTTTCGACTTATAGAGATACTGTGTTGTTGTTGTTGTTGTTGTTATTGTTAAGTGCCAGTGAGTTAGTTCCAAATCATAGCAGCCCCATATAGGGTTTCTGAGGAGCAGATGGGGAGTTTGAATTGCTGACCTTGCAGTTCAAATCGACTGTGCTTATCCTATAGTGCCATACCAAGACCCTATAGGGCAGAGTAAACTGTCCCTGTAGAGTTTCTAAGGCTGTAATCTTTATGGAAGCAGACTGCCACATTGTTCTCCCAAAGAGCAACTTGTAAGTTTAAATCATAGATACTTTACTTAGCAGCCAAATGCTTAACCAATGCATGTATGTCTATATATAAAGACATTGTTGTTGTTGTTGTTGAGTGTCGTACAGTCAGTTTTGACTCATAGCAACCCTGTATAGGGTTTCCAAGGAGCAGCTGAAGGGTTTGAACTGGTAAGTGTTTCATATATAGACATAGACATATATGTGAAGCATTCTATTGTCTTTTAATTCTATTTTTCCATGAGCCTTTTGAAGCCCCATAATATATATGTTGTTGTTATTGTTAAGTACTGTGCAGTCAGTTCTGACCCATAGTGACCCTGCACAGGGTTTCCGAGGCTATAAATCTTTACAGGAGCAGAAAGCCTCATCTTTCTCCCATGAAACGGCTGGTAGTTTTGAACTGCCAACCTTGAGGTTAGCATCCTGATTCGTAACCTACCAGCACTCCTAATAATATATATATATATATATATATTCTCACCATAATAAAATAGTTTTAAAATTATCTAGAACTTGGGAATAAGACAAGAAAAGATAGCATTTCACTCAATATTATGTAAAACGAAACAAGGACTATGCAGAACTATCTACCTAAATCTACTTCGTTTGACTCACTATTTACTATTGATTAAATATATTAAATGTCCCAAAGTTAATGAAATTACATGTTAACAAAGGTTTCTTTGTCCAGCAGAGATACAAATAACTTCTGCCCAGTGGAACAAATAACCAAAAAGATTCTGGTTTGAGGTCCTGTAATACATTGTTATTGTTGTTGTTCAGTGCCATCAAGTCAGTTCTGATTCATAGCGACCCTGTACAGAGTTTTCAAGGAACAGCTGCTGAGGTTGAACCGCCGACCTTGCAGTTCAAATGGAGCCTGCAGTCCAGTACAGTAATCCACAGTGCCACACCAGTGCTACATCTAACCTAGTGTGGTACTATAGGATTAGCACTGGACTGAACCTAAAGGTCAGCAGTTCAAACCCACCAGTTGTTTCCCAGAAACCCTATAAAGGGTGGCTGTGAGTTGGACACACACACACACACACACACACATCTAACCTAGCCACATCATCCCTACATTTCTTTTTTGAGTTATCTAACTATGGACTTAAAGGTTTGATCTGTATCCATCCAGTAGTCATAGCTAGCTTCTCAAATGCTCTTTAATTAATGGGTTAATTAATGATTAAATGTTGTTGTCATTAAAGGCCATGGAGTTCATTCTGACTCATAGTGACCCTGTATAGGGTTTCTGAGGAGCAGGTGGTGAGTTTGAACCTCTGACCTTGTGGTCCAAACCAACCTCTCGGTCCAGTGCTTGTCTTACAGTGCTACACCAAGAGTCTAATGATTAAATAAAGCTCATTAATTCATGAGTTACATAAAATCAGTGACACACATTTATAGGTACATGATTTTACCTTTTTGAAAATATTGTACTTTTCACAATCCCTCAACCTGAGCCCCCTTCTCCCATCATCTTTCTCACTCGCATTATTGCCCTTGCTCTGCTCCAAGAGAATAAATTCTATCAAGGGCTCATCCAAATTCCTTCTTTACCATGCGGCTTTCCTTATTCTGCCTTTTCTAAATAAATATTATGCTGACTGCCAGCATCGTGCAATTAACTCTCTGGTTCCATATTCTATAATTATTTCATACATATAAGCTGGCTTCCCTCCTGCCCCAACAAGAATGCAAGCATCTGAAAAACCCAAAATCTTCATGCTAATGGCCTCTCTTTAAAGTACTCTGAATTTCCTAAGTGTACTGTAAGCATTCAGCATTAAATACTTGTGGATATGTTTACTGTATGAAAAATATTCTGGAGAGTAGGCGTTCTTACTCTCCAGAGGGGAGCTCGGGAAGAAGGTCCATTTTTCAGCAAGATGGACTGACTCAGAATATTTTTGTCAAGGTTCCCCAATTATTTCAACACATTACTTCAACAGTGATTCCAGCCCTTCCAGTATCCCATAACAATTAGCCATAGACATTTCTGTCTGACTCTGGGTGAAAACCGAAGGAATTTGGGGGAAACAAAGTTACCTCTGAGAGAGAGAGAGAAAAAAAAAAAAAAAGAGACTGGGTCCTGTTTACCCTCCATTCATCTCAAAACGGAACCCTATTAAATGCAAGAGGTAACAATGTTAATTATGCTCTTTCATTAGTAAGAGGCCAGGTCAACAGGACCTGTCAGGGTCAGATTTGTCAGAATTTAAAAATTTAGTTCTGATGACCTATGGCTAGCACATTCCCAGGTATTCAGTGTCTGTAATATGCAGAGGCCAATGCTTGGACTTAAATATAACCACATACATCTGGGACTTGCAGCCTGACTTTTCTTTTTCTAGCTAGAGAACAGAATTTGCTCCTCTAAAGTAGGCCAAGTGAGTAGATGCTGCTTTTGATTTCCAGTATCTTCAAGAGAGCCCCCTCCTTCAGGTCTATACCTAAAATTGTTTTTTTGACTGAAGGTGCTATGGGGAGGGGCTAGTGGAGACCTCTTCAAGATGCTTGAAATAGCAATGTGGCTAAGAACAGACACTGAAGCAGGACATTCAAAGGCCAAATCATGCTGATTCTACTCACTACCTGTGTACTTGGGAAACTTTTAACCTCTCTGTGCTTCATGTCCTCATCTGTAAAACAGAAGATAATAATAGGACCTACTTTGGGCTAAAGCTGAGAGTGAACTGTCCAGCCAATATGAAATGGGGGGAGACGCACAAGAACACCTAAACTTGCAGATAGTACCTATCTGACCTAGCTTGGATGGCTTGATGATCAAAACTCGACTCAAAGAAGATAAAGAAATTTGATACAGGAAGCAAGTGTAAATTGCTATAATTTGATGAACTTGACCTTATAGATGTTGTTGTTGTTATGTGCCATCGAGTCAATGCCGACCCATAGCAACCCTGTATAGGGTTTCCAAGGAGTAGCTGGTGAGCTTGAA